CTGAACTGGACAAAAAGAACTTGGCCTTTATGGAAAAGTTTGATGAGCTAAATGGTTTATATGGCACTCACCTTACGTTGCTCCAAAAGGATAGAGATCTTACTTCTGATCGTGCTCAAAGATTATTCGAGCGACTCCAAGGARAGTTCTTGAACTTAACTTTCCAGAAARAAGCTCTGCAATCAGCTTGCAACGAGTTATATGAACAAAAAGATRAACTTCTGAAAGCTAAAGCTTCATTACTTTCCCAACTTGATGAGGAACGCTGCTCTGCAAGGCAGGCAATTGAAAAGCTGGAGTCTGAAGCAAAATGTCTAGTCTCTAAAAATGCTGAGACAGAAGCAGTGATCTCAAAGCTGAGAGAGGAAATAGAAGCTTTGTTGGAAAATCTGAGGGCCTCAGAGAATAGAACGGTATAAATATCTTCCATAACTTTGTGCTGTCTCTCTCAAATTATCAATYTATGAATGCTTAATCTGTCCTTGTATCTCGCAGCAAGAATTTTCGTTGAAGCTTTCATCATTAGAGATGGAAAGCAAAGAGAACTATGAGAAGCTGGAGGCTGATGCACAGAAAAAGGCTGAAGAAATGGAGACTTTRCAGCTAGAAAACGAGGGCAATCAGCTGCGTGTCGATTCATTGTCGACAGAGGTGAACCAGCTCCAAAGCGTTATTGAAGAAAAAGAGCTTCTTATCCAACAATGCAAGGAAAATGAGAAGAAGTTGGACCAGCAAACCACAGAGGTATAAAAAGTTTGATATTGGACAAGGCTTTATGGTTTCTATCCACCTTCTAATACTCCTCAAATACGAACCCCATTGCAGGACAAGGAGCTACTGGCAGCTGCTGAAACCAAGCTTGTTGAGGCGAAGAAGCAATATGATCTGATGCTGGAGAGTAAACAGTTGGAATTATCAAGGCATTTGAAGGAATTATCTCAGAGAAATGACCAGGTATGTCTTGGATCATTTTCTCCACATGTATGCTGAGGATTTGTTTAGAGCTCTTAACTGAATCAAAGTATAACACAACTCAAAATTTGACGTATATACTCTCTTGATGATTTTTAGGCAATTAATGAAATCCGGAGGAAATATGATGAGGAGAAGCAAGAAAATATCAATGCTGAAAAGGAAAAGGTATCTGCTGACAAAATATTTTGTTGTAAATGGGCTGAGCAATTGATCATGGCTCTGTGATGTTTCTGGTTATGACTTCAGGTTGAGAGGGTTATCAAAGACTTATCTACAAAATATGATAAAGAACTTTCAGACAGTAAAGCCGAATCAAAGCAGCAATTGCTGACCATTCAGGAGGATCATGCTTCTCTGGTATAGTAATCTCCTCTTAAACCTGTTGTTTCTGAACATCACCAAGCATTGAATTTTCTGAGATTTCAACCCTTCGGAATTATAGGTTTAGTAAGCAGAAAATGGAGGTATCTGAATCGAAGTCCCTTTTCTCTGTTTTTTTGTTTGGAAGTTTATCACTGAGCAGGTTTAAGTAGCAAATTGGCTGATAAAGTTGTATATTTTGCAGATACTCACTATTCGGGAGGAACATGAGAATAGGGAGTTCAATCTCAAAGCGAAGCACGATGAGCAACTGAGACAAGCTCAGAGTCAGGCTGAAACTGAATTAAAAGAGGTACCMACAGACATAATTTGATAGTTCGATTGGAATATGAAGCCTATGGTACTCACTCAAGTAATTTTTTATCTTCATGCAGAGGATAACAACACTCAGGGACGAGCATGATGTTCAGTTGAAAGCATTCAAGTGTCAGTACGAAGATGATTGCAAAAAGCTGCAAGACGAGTTAGATCTTCAGAGATCAAAGGTAAGTGTTTATCAATATTCATTATAAGATGCACCTGTTAACGTTTAGAACCTAATGACTTAATGAGTTATCTTTGCAGGAAGAAAGGCAAAGAGCTTTGTTGCAAATGCAGTGGAGAGTTATGAGTGACAAACCGCCTGAAGAGCAGGAAGTGAGCTCTAGGAAGGTTAGACCGCAAATCATTTTGATCAACTAAAAGAATACTTTGTTTACTTTATATCAKCACATTTAGTAAAACACAAAACATATATTGATTTTGATAACTTAATCATCTTGTAGGAATATTCTGTCTCATCTGTCAAAGTGAGAGGTTCTCGTCCTGCTGGTAGCAAGAGAAGTCAGCAAATAGCAGTGCATGACGATGAACAGGTAGGAAATGAAATACCAATTTATATTGTCTCTGGTTGGTCAAAGTCTGCATATATAACTATATACATACATCCTCATGGATGAAATGCAGGACTCTCCTTTTGTAAAGGCAACAGAAACACCTGTGACAAAGATGTTGAAGAAAGTTGAAAAGGTTAATACAAGAAGCTTAATGAGCAGTCCGAAGCATCACAGCAAGGTAAAACATTAAAACCCTTYAYTAACTACTTTTACTTCAGCTCCCAGCCTCATCATTTGTTACGTGGTTCAACTTGGCAGGTGACCCGTCGTGAATATGAAGTTGAAACGAACAATGGGAGGKCTACAAAACGAAGGAAAACAAAAGGCACAGTCATGTTTGAGGTAAACTATTCTGCGCATCAACCCKTTGATTTGTTTCATCTTAAATATTCAGATATGTTCAACAACCATCTTCTCTGAGTTGGGATTCACCTTTTTTTATGGCTACAGGAGCCACAGAGGCGATTGTCTCGGGTTACACCCAAAGCTAAGACCCCCAGAAGTATTGCTAAGGTAAGATAGATCCTTAAACTTTACTAAATATTTGGAATGTAAAAATCGCAGTCAAGTGAACTAGTTCCGAAGCAGGGTTAATACCACTCAAGTAGACTAGTTCATTTCGACCATACTTTCTGTAACTTGAAGAGTTGTTTAAATTGCGAAAAAACATTTGTTTAGTCTAGGCTTCTATACTGAGACGACCCTTTCCTTATTTTGCTGTGTTTGGACCTTTTTAACAACATTGAATGTATCTCTCTTGTACATGAAACAGGTAGCAGCCATAAGTGCTCATCATCCACGCTCTGCAAATATTGGAGATCTGTTTTCAGAAGGGTCACTCAATCCTTATGCCGATGATCCCTACGCATTTGACTGAGCACGAGAAGAATTACACATACCTCCCTCTTTTCTTTAGTGTTACTTCCAAGTTCTGGGGACTTCTCAAGTGTGATTGTGTGACCGGAAGAGACCAAAGAGATGTAAAACATTTTTATTATGATGTATCTCTGCGTCCTCAAATTCTTGTGCCCATTCCATTATAGAAAAAAATATTCTTTGCTATTTCAGTGAGTGGAAGATTTGCTTGAGCAAAGAAGACTTCATTTCATAATAAATCTCCAACCTTTCGAACACGAATATCAAATACAAAATAAGCCCTGTCATTGATTCCAAAACAAACACATCTGATTTTGTTGGTTTTTAGCAGTTGATTTTATAATAAGCAACGAAATCTGAAATTCTGATGATGAAACGTTTTACATAAGAACATGTGGAAGTGGAACTAGAGAAAGCTGATACAAACATTGATCAACGAGAACCGAGAAAGAAGACAAGGAAGAAACTGGAAATCAAGAGAACCAGAACGACGAGAAGAAGCATCTCCATGAAGCCGCAAAAGCTTAATCCGCTTAGTCCTTTTCTTCTCCATCGCAAGCTTTTTCTTCAGATCCTCAATTTCTCTTCGCGTCTCTCCTTCCTTCTGATACCACACAACACAAACACAAAAGAGTTTCAGAATTATAGATCGACCGTAGCGAAACCCATTCCGAACCGAAGAAGAAAATGGAGAAAGAGGAAGGATCTTCTAACCTCGCCGCCGGAATCAATGGTTGCCGTCAGATCGCGGGACGATGATGCCAGTTAGTAGAGGAGCATCGTAGCTCTTGCACATCGGACCGCAGCTCTCTCTCTGATCGACGATTCATCTTTGCTTGTCATCTTCTTCTGATTCTCCTTCGTCTCTGTCTCTCTTTCTCTGTTGGCCTGATTTTAATGGTGTGTTGCTACTAGTGACAGGTGTCAATATATGATTAGTGATGCTACCTGAAATAAAACAATTCTCGAAAAATAAAAATCACGCAGAAATTGTGCATTGTAATTTTAGGC